CGTCACATTTACCTCAGAAAAAAAAAAAAAACACATATTCGGTGACCATAAACTCATTAGTCATTAGGGGTGGGAATCACCAGAGGGCTCACGATACGATATTATCATGATACTTGTGTCACAATACAATATTATTGCGATTTTAAATATATTGCGATATATTGCAATTTATTACCTTTTTCCAACTTCAAATTATGTCCCCAAAGGAAAACTTTGACAACATCTGTTTTAACTAAAAATAAACATTTCTCAGTTTGTTTATTTCTCTTCCGTTTTTTTGTTTCAGTGAAAAATGGGATTGTCAAGCAGACAAACTGACCAACAGTTTCATGAAAACCTGTCATAAAATTTATTATTTTATTAAATAATATAAAGTAATTTTGTAAGACTTTTTAAATTAAACTAAATTTTAATGATACTGAATTTAAAAAAACAAAAGCTAATAAAATAACCACACTTTTACTGAAAGTAACACAATAAAACTGGACAGAATTTATATTAATATTGGTAACACTTTACAATAAGGTTCATTAGTTAACTACTTTAGTTAACAAACTAAGAATGAAAAATAGTTCTTCAGCATTTACTAATCTTAGTTCATGTTAATTTCAACATTTACTAATGCATTATTAAAATCAACGGTTAATTAACATGAACTAACAGTGAATAACTGTATTCTCATTAACTAACATTAAGAAAGATTAATAAATACTGTAATAAATGTATTGTTCATTGTTAGTTCATGATAGTTAATACATTAACTAACATTAACTAATGGAACCTTATTGAAAAGTGTTACCTTAATATTAAATATCAATATATTCTTTTTATTCACTTCTATGTAACAGAAGCAGATATAAGTTGTTGTTGTTTTTGACTAATTATCCAAATAATGTATAGTCCTACAAAGTTATTATTATCAGAGCATATGAGCAGAGCATAGCGTCACTGAAGGTAGCATTATTTTACCAGCGTTGCCCAGTACAGCTGAACTAGCCTACACCATGTTACAGCACAGTAGCGCTACTGCAAACCGGAACAAGCAGGCCTATACTGCATAGAAATGTCCTGTCAGTGCGTTATTTGAGCGGACTTTGCTTTTCCGATGAGCATGAGTGGAACGCACATTCATAGATCCGAATATTGAGAGTGAAACATGCATGCTGAACACTGCCGGGTGGGGCGCGACGCGGTGCGCCATATATATTATTATTATTATTACTATATGTAGCCTATATTTTCGGTGCATACCTACTTACATCCCCTCCTTGTTTACAAATCCGAAGTAAGTTAATACATCCGATTTAAACGCGGACGGGGCTTTTCTGATAACTTTCCGCGATGCCGCCCTCTTTATTTTACTAACTTACTGCATGCTAAAGGTGACCCAACTGACCTCACCAGAAAAAAACTCAACACCACAATCTAGTAGATTGTAAAGAAATTTATTTTATTATTCTACCAAATAGTATAATCAAAGATCGATACTTGGCGTCCGTGTATCGATACAGCATTGCTGCGGAAAATATCACGATACTATGCTGTATCGATTTTTTCCCCCACCCCTATTAGTCATATAGAAAAATAAACTGTAGAGAGGGGCATTTTGCTTAATATATGCAACATAATAATACCAATTTGGGTTGTTATTAACCCAAGCATAATGGGTTGATTTAACCCAGCTAATGGGTTTATTCATTTTTACTATATTACTAGCTTATTTTTTACTTCATACATTAAGTAAGGTTTACAGATTAACTTAAATCCTCTAAACCTTTCTAAAATACTCCACACAACCACTGGTTTGCATGATAACTTCCTTTATTTATAATTTACAGCATTGTTTATATCGTTTTTAATAGGCTATACATATTGCCTATATTTAAACTCGTTTAACAAACATTAGAACAAAAATTCAACATTAAACAGAAGTAATTCATGTGTAATCGACCAGTCTCTGTTATTCTGTTTCCATCGTAACGCCGCTGGTTCTCGTGCCCGAGCTGGAGTCGTGTTCGGCGGGAAACTGCTAACGGACCGCCGCCCAGCATTTCACTCTAGCCGAAGCATGCTGTGACTCCATAACCTAACAATAAACAGCTCTGAGGATATGTTTTAACATCCAAACAAAGTATTATATTCTGTATCTTTATGAATAAAATCGTTTATTTTATGCAAAGCATCAGGATTTTCCATCACGCGAAAATACCGCGACACTCGTTAAAGGTGATTCACACCGCGCGCCTGTATGTTGCTCTGCATAAAATTTAACTATATAGGCCTACAGCACAGTAATGATTTTATAGATAAAATAAAATGTACACAAACCTGTATTTTACCGAAGAATGCATCAATTCAATGGCGCTTAGAACTGCTCTCTCGTGAAGTGAAGACGCAAAATCCCCGCGATAAATAACTCAACCGCTGGGTTACGTCTGACCCTGTATCGGAGTAACTCTAAAACTACCCAAACATTGGGTTGTTATGTCTGACCCAGGAGCTGCAAAACAACCCAAACACCGAGTTGTTACATTTGACCCAGGAGCTGGGTAACACAAAAACTACCCAAACACTGAAAAAAGAACCCAAAAAAATGCTAAAAAAAAAGGCTCAACCCACCATTTGGGTTAAAAAAATAACCCAGGATTTTTTTAGTGTGATAATGTTTTTCACTCACTTTCTGTATATTATATATTTATTCATTGTTTGAATAACCGTGGAAATTAAAACGTTATCATTTTCAGCTTGCCATTTTTTTATTAAATTTTGATCATGTTAAACACAAATTCAGTCCTATTAAAAATATTTTATTAGCCTACATAACACCCATATCTGATAGCCTACTTTCCTAAAAATTATTATGTTTGTAGTTAATAGATTAGGCTGCTTTTAGCCTTACCCTGAGTTGGTTCACCCCCCACCTATGCACTGAGTCATTAATTCATTCGATTTGTTCAAATAGCTGATTCATTCAGAAGCAAACCGCTGTGTTGCTTGGAGACGTGCGACAATTCTGCTGTGGCTTTATGGGTAATATTTTCGTTGGCAAATTTGAGCAAAAGCAGACAATATTGTGTTTAAAATATAACACAATATTAACTTATTATTTACTGAACTGTGTGTAAATCACATTTGCACTCGTGCTATTCAGGACAAAAACTGTACTCGTGTAATATCGCATGTCATATAAATAGGCTGTGAGACAAAAACGCATACGGGGGCATGTTTTCCCCAATCTCTTGAATTTTAGGGGCACATAACTGCATTTATTGACTGCATCATGCAGTGAGTTGTTGCCCTGCATCATGTTTGTCAACTCAGTAGTCAAATGTTTGCAGTGTAAGATGACGTACAGGTCTAGGGCGGTAGTCCACTGTGTTAACTGCGTTAAAATATTTTAATCGCGTTATTTTCATAACTAATTAATTTAATTAACGCGTTAAATTGACAGCCCTATTAAAATTTAATTTATTCCTGAGATTGCTAAGCTGAATTTTCAGGAAGCCATTACTCCAGTCTTCAGTCTCTAATGATCACATGATCTTTCAGAAATCATTCTAAGAACAGCATTTATTTCAAATAGGATTTTTTTTGTTTTAAATTAAAAGCCTTTCCTGTCATTTTTGATCCAATTAATTCTTCCCCGCTGAAAGTATAATTTTTTTACTATCCTACTGACCCCAGACATCTGAACAGTAGTGTACACTGATGGTCTACTCAATTATATTTCACCAATACAGTTATTCCCACCAGTATTTCAACACTCAGAGAACCAGTAACAGTTCTTCCTTCCAATTAGGCATTCTTCTCTTTCCTTATAAGGTGGGAGATTCTGTTTGATGACTATGACTGTTTATTATGTCAAGTAAATCAGTGTGACACTTTATAGTTCATTCTCATTTCCCGTCATTGAAATGTGAACTAGGCTGGGAAAAGTGACCTCTTTGACATTCACTTATAGTGTCAGAAGTTTTATTACGGTCAGTACCATAGTCTTTGTAACGGTTGTTTTGAGCATTTTGCCATATATTGTTATTATTATGTGTACATTAGTATATTATCTGTAATAGTAGATTGTGATTGGTAAATCATGGCATTCTGCAGTTAAACATTTTTGTAAAATGAAATTTGCAACCTCCATTGCTGAGCTAGTTTCACATCTAAATAATCTCAAATCAATATTCCATGATCATTTTTTTTTTATTATTACTGAGTAGCCATTTAAGTGGGGTAATGTACAGTCAGTTGGTCATTATAGCAAAATAAACACCCTCAGAGGGACCACCTCATCCCGACTGGGTTTAATTTGCGATAATGACTGGCTTATAGTACACTATTATATACGCTAGTTATAAACACTTCTCTGTTTTCTTCTGTATATTTAGACTGCACTTTCACAAGTGTTTTTCCCTGCTAAGTCATTTCCACTAGACAAGGGCAGCCCTGCCTGTTGCTGATAATGCAAAAATGTTAACAATCTGGCACAATTGAGCTGCATTCTAAACAAGAAAACGTGATTTAACTGCATTTCACATAACGTCCATGGTCTGTGAATTTGCAAGACTTTTTTGCAATAATGGCAGGGCTGGATGCAGCTGCCACATTTCTCATTCACTTTACTTCCTCTTGTAGACAAAAGATCTAGAACAAAAGATAATAAACCAGCATTCATTTCAAACATACATTCAGAAGCACCAGCTGAAGTGAAATCAAAATGTGTCTTAATTTCCCAAGCAATTATTAAAGTGAGCAATCAGGAAGAAAAAAAAAAGACGATGAAACTAATAACAAGCAATAAGACAAATAAAAAGAATAGAACAAAGGCATGAAGAAATTAAATAGACACTGCCATATTGCGCTTCACAAAACATGATTTGCATCAGCCACACTCATGGCAGAAGTACAGACAAGTATAACCTGTTGAGCCATTTGTCATAACTTCCCTCTTGACCGAATCCGAGTCCATATTTAGTCTCATCCTGATTCCGCTCTCTTCACAGGTGCTCTGACAAAGGTGAAGGAAAGCCAGAAGCACGTAGAGGAAGGGAAGATGGAGAGCCAGCAGGCAGATGGGATCAGGGAACGCTGCAACATCATCTCGTTCGCCACACTGGCTGAGATCCAGCACTTCCATCAGACTCGAGTGCGGGACTTCAAGTCCCAGATGCAACATTACCTACAGCAGCAGATCGGCTTCTTCCAGAAGGTCACAGGCAAGCTGGAGGAGGCTCTGCAGAAGTATGACAATGCCTAAATGAACACTGTTCAGATTGAACCGACAGAGCTTCAGAATTAGCCAGCCCTTAGCAATATACAACAAAACCAAGAGTCAAAAAGAGTCTAATATTTATGAAATCTATCCCCATACAATGAATGTCCGTTATAAGGAACTGAAGATTGTTTGGGGCGAAATGGCGATGGTAATAGTCTAGTTTGGACTGTTTTTCTCTGTGAAACTGATGATGAAGACAGAGACACGAGACCAGAAAGCATGGAATGTCTTCGATCCTGCTACTAATGTCATATTTTAAACGTGTTCTTCACACAGATAAATTAGATATTGTTATAACTCGAGGAGCTCGTATAGCTCCTCACTGCCACCTTTTAAACACTTTGAACCGTTTTAGCAGTTCTTAGAACTTTACAGACCTTACAGAGCCACTGTCGTGCCTTTCAATCTCGTCTCGGTATTTTTATAATTTCTTAAAAAGAACTATATATTATTCTTATTCTGAGATTTGTTTCATATGGTTTGATTTTATTAGCTTATACAAATGTCACTCCTGCTTAAAATGGCGGGCGAAGGAGTAGCTGGCTCATGTTTGGAGATGAGCGTGGGAGTAGCTGGACATGATGCCCTAATTTGGTATCCCGTCTGATTTATTTCCCCTTCCCTCCCTATGATATTCCGGTTCCAATGCAAAACAGAATGTGCATTTTAGGGAAAACAGTAGTGTGCGTCAGATCACCTGCCGTCATTTGGAGACAATTGAGCAGGAACCTGAAAAATTTTTAAACATGATGTAAACAGGAAGCACAACTCTCAGGATAACAAGAGTTCATTTTGGACACTTCAGCCTACCATTTTTTCAAATAATGACATATTACTCAAAACGAGAATCCAGTTTATTTTCTACTGCAGATTTTTACTTCTCGTTGTGCAGGACGCACCACACCTAGATGTCCTGAAATGTTAAAGATTCCAAATAAATTGTTTACATAACTGCTTGTTGCATTGAATATATTTTTGTATTGTATGTGTTTTGAAGTAGGCATTGCAAACACCACATATATAACAGAACAGTTTTCCTAAAAGAGCACATTTTATTTTCATTCTTTACCTTTGTTGTTTCTCTGGTTCTTTCGCTGGTTTATTCAGTGTGTATAACCAATATTGCCGCAGTTTCAGTGCAAACATGAGGGTTGTGCCGAAGGAAGGAGGAAAGCTTTTAAAGGTGGGGTAAGCGATTTCTGGTAGCCAATGTTGACATTTGAAATCACCAAAACAAACACGCCCCTACCCCAAAAGGGACTCGTCGCTATTTTGATAGCTCCGCCCCACAAGCAAAACCAGTGTCTACACCGGACACGAGTGGCACGGCGCGACAAAATACTATGGAACTCAGTATAATCAGTGATGCTGTCTACACCATAGATATATACAGTATATATGCATATCTATGGTCTACACTGGATGCAATGCGGCACAACACGAGAAATCCCTGACAGAAAACTGCTGCTGCGTTCTGTTCATGACGTACTGACACAAATTTCAAATGATTTTCAACGGTCGCTTTGTCACGTCCAGTGTAATAGACAGACTTTAGCTGTTGCGGCGCAGACACGGTGTTACTCACCTATCGAGAAGAAACCAAGCAACCTCGGCGTTCGATCACAGGCCTTCCGCTCCTTGAGTTCTCTCCAGCGCTGGAAAGCTGATCCGATATTTACACGGGTCCTACTTCTTGCCTTAAGCCTTCTTTTGTTTCGCAGACGTTTTCCTCTTTTGTTTTTTTTATCCGCCATCTCTATCTTTCTGTCCCTCGGCTCGCTAATGTGAGCACTGAACGCTCTCTCCTCCACATCATGAGTAGACACGCCCCTTACTGCTGATTGGCTACAAGTTTGTTTTGCTAGTCAGCCCGAATCAGTTTTCTAAAGCATTTTTGAAAAATCTCTTACCCCACCTTTAAGAACGCATCTTCTTACTGGTGTTGATGCATGAAAAATGTAAAAATGGATGCAGATGTTTTTGTCGACACTATCATGAGGTTTGACTGAAAAGATGTTTTCACGTTGTACATGATGATAATAACAGACATTTGTGATTGTTAATTTGCATCAGCAATAAAGGACATTCTCAACACTGATCATTTTTAATCCTGTTTACCACAACAAACACTTGATATATCCTTAGGAATGAGATTTTTACAATATTTCTACTGTATTTTTTACAAACTCTATAAGCGATAGGCATTTCATGGACTTTCAAGCAGTGACTACTTTTAAAAAATAGTTAACATATTAATTAATATAAAAATGTAATTCATTTAAGTATATAATTAAAAAATATATATATATTTATTTTTTAAATATTTGTTCTTCTTACATTTAATTGTTCTAATATTTTTATATTAGAATATATTTTATATTATAATTATACAGGCTGAATTTATTAAATATATACAAATATAAACACTTTGGGTATATAAGAAATCTATAAAAAAATTGAATATAATGTAGAGTTTAATATACAAAATAATGGACATTATTTACCATCTACCTGTTTGGAGCATTACAGTAACAATACGTTTGGTGATTGCTGTCAGTTAAGAGGGATTTATCTGTTGGTGATGTGGTAATGAGAGAAGTGTTCACTGTGAATAGTGACAAATGCCTTTTTCAAGGCCAAGCCGTGGGAACGCAGTCTGTTTGCCAGACCTGCCTGCTCTTCTATAGTTGGCCCCGGCACAGCCGCTTTCCCCAGCACTGGCTGTAAACACTGAAGCATGCTCCGCTTTCAGCGGGACGGGTCTCCGGGAGGTGTGCCAAGCAAGCCTCCTAATGCCAGCCATGGGTTATTCTGTCTCAAAATCCTCACTTTATCAGAGGTTTTTGAGATTTTCTTGATAAAACAGGCACATTGATCCAGAACATCAGTATCAAGCTAGTCCAGACACATGAAACATCCTGCTTTGCTTTATTTTGCAATACTGTGTTTTGAGCTTATCAAACACAATGGTGTGATGTTTAGGAGGGCAGTAACTATTGATGAAGTTACTAATGTCCCCAGTGAAGTCATTTAATGTGATTTTACCTTTTTGTTTACCATGGGTTTTAATTATTTTCTTACTGGTCCAAACTCAGAAACAGTTTGGATCAAATAATGTCTCACTCTTTACCTGTTTAGGCTGCGTCACGCAGCATTGCTCGGTGTGAGCGCGTCTGTTGTGTAATTGCGCTAGAATGTGACTACACCGTTAAAGTTGTGCACACCAGTCAGGTCACACGTCTAGTGTCACAATATAAGCACATATTGAACACTTGCCACCACACAAGGCATGCAGCTCTGTGGGTGCCAGAATGCTGAACGCTGGCTTTAAGTAGTTCCACAGGAAATGCATTCCAGATGTTTGCAACTGCAGGAACACAAGTTCCTCCCAAAGGAGCTGATGGAGGGTTGATATAGCAATATATGGTATCAGTAAATTAAAAAAAATACCACATTCACTTTAAATTCGATCAATGTAAAATATTAAATAAATAGGGAAATAATTAAGGAATCATAATAATAGCTGTTCTCCAAGGGATTATTACAATATTAAATTTATTTATTAAAATGTTTATTTAAAAAAAAAAAAATTACATTTTACTCTATAAGGTCATTCGTAATACTCGTGATAAGTGAGTTTTCAGTTTTCAGGCAGTTTGTAACAATTAAATTGGAGTCCTCCTGAGATTCTTTCACGTATCAAACTCAATTGTAGTTCCACCCTCTTGAGGAATGCCGATGCCACGAGCCAGAATGAAAACATATCTGAAAACAAAATTATAATTCCTCCCTAATAACTGAAAAACATTACAGTCAGTGCTGCTTGCCAGTATATCTCATAGCAGGCAGCTCACTCAGTATGTCTAACTTGCAAATGGCTTTCTATATTGCTGATCCTGGACCCTATTTAAGAAACACATGCAGTGAATGTTGTTCCTTGTTACATGGCTGATATGTTTATCATATTACCTCGAGGCCACGAGTGTGTTTATAATGGCTCAGAGGTTGACCTAACTGCAGAAAAACAACTGCGTTATTGCGTTTTAACTTTAGTTTTTTTTATACAGGTTTAACAGGGAAAAAAACAGCCAGCACACAAAAGAAAAAATAAATAATAAATATAAAATATAGCGTAAAGCAATATACTCAGGTGAGATTAAAAATACATTATTACTAACTGTACTTCCATTCAGATGTTTTGGGTTTGATATTAATGTTTTTGAAAGACCTCTCTTATTCTCACCAATACTGTAAAAACAGTAATAATGCGAAATATTATTACTACTCAAAATAAGCATCTTCTATTTTAATATAATTTACTCCGGTCTTCAGTATCACATGATCCTTCAGAAATCAGAAAAACAAAATACTTTAAAATTCTTTTACATTTTATTCTTATTCATTCTGGATTAGATTTGGTCAAAAACAACCATAATTCCAAATGTATTGCATGTCATTAAATGAATCAAAATAGCATGCCCTTTCCACTATAGATTTTTCTGACAAGAAGTGCTGATGTGTTCATTGACATGCTGCAATATTTATTGGTCTATTGCATGCAGTGCTTCAATTTTCCAGCATACCTATGCAGTGCCAGGAGCTCGCTGCCTGAACTTCTGTTTTCAATCACAGGGCTTTGATGTGCACTTGACCTGCTGAGGGGATGTGACTCCACACCATTCTTACAGCCTACAGGATGGACATTACTGGAAAACCCCAGAAAACCACTCCACATGGGACAGCTGCTTGTGTGACTGCTGATTCCAGGGTTTGGATGTCGTATCCTTGGTTTTGACCATAGAAATTCCCGGCAAGCTATATCATGCTCCGATTAGATTTTTAGGTCATATGAGCTGATATGCATCCAAAGAGGAACTAGTAGTCACAGGAACATACTCCTTTGAACCCAAACAGTACAGGTCATATTTTGTATTCCACTGAAGAAAGAAAGTGAGTAAATGATTGCGGTATTTTTATTTTTGGGTGAAATATCCCTTTAAGAGCATGTGTTGCTAAATTCACTTAAAGGTGTTTATTTCCCACCACTGACAAAGAGGGATCTGTTACTTCTATTAAAAACTGCACGCTTGCCTGTGATTCATTCGAAAATAACATTATCACTCAAAAAATGAAGAAAAATGCTGAAGCAAGTCACAAGGCCCTGATAGAGTTGCACCATGTGAGCTTTCATCATATCTCAGTGTTGTGAATCTCACATATGTCAAATGCGTTTAGCCCACTTCCTGTGTGTTTTAAATAAATTCTGTCAGTCTGGTCATATGATTCTTCTGTTTTGACAGCTTACTGCAGTTAATATAGACCCTAGAATAAGTATCAGTTCCCAAACCAGACCAAAAATATCTATTAAAAATACAGCCGATTCAAGCAAGCTCTTTGTTAATGCATCTTTGCAGCAAAACTTGAGTCAGCGTTGACTTTTCAGTGACCAGCCCTCAAGCATAACAAGCAGTGATATCCCGTGAGGTAATGCTGGCAGTGCACAACGGACCATTAACTTGACCTGCCCACTCTCCAGTGAATTAGAAACACACTACATTATAATGTACATTCAAATACATTTATTTAATTTTTTTTGACTATTTTTCCTCGGAGCTCTGAAATAATATTTATTTTCATTTTTAGATTTTTTTTTCTTTGACAATTCTTTTTCTCAAAAAACTCTAATAGTACAAAAACAGTGTTTAAAGTTTTTTTGCACGTTTTTTTTTTCATTTATCACAGTATAAATGGGTCTTCATGCATTAAAATATGTTGCTGACTATATTATAGGAAGAGGTCCCTCACAAGATGATCAGACCTGGCAGAAAGGTCTGGAATGTGGGAGCAGTGGGCATTCTTCTTCACTGCTGTGTTGTTTTTATAGCCCCACACAGGAAGCCCTCTCTAGCTGGGCCTCATTCATATCTGAAAAACGCTGACTGCTTCCCCCTCTCTCTGGCTGCTGGCCCACACACACACACACACACACACACACACACAGTGAACGAAGTGTGTAAACCTGAGGAAAGCATGATTTAGCTCTCTTTTAATAAGCATCTCTAAATTCAGACGACAAAGATGGCAATGCATCATTTTTTATATTCATGTCACAAAACAGTGTTAGAGTGACAGTCATAATAAATTGCAGAAATCTAAAGTGTAAAAATGACCCAGGTCACCCTGATTCACCCTATTGATTCCCATCGACCTGTCAGAGAGCTGAATCTCTAGATTAAGAAACAAGAAACTTGAATGTGTTTGCTCAAAGGCCTGTACATCTTTCTTTTCTTTTCTTTTTTTTTTGGAAGAAGAATTTAAACTGCTTATTTTCCACCAGTTAAAAATTGTGCAGACTCATTTACTCGAAGTGTATAACGCTGTTTTCAACAGTGAAGATATCCTCACCACAACTGTGAAATTCTATCTCCAAATGTTGCATTTCACATCCATACTACATTTAGACTCAGTTTACTAAGGCCCTGTTCAGGTGTGTTTGATAGACTGTCGAGAACTGAGTTTAGAACATGCTCCACTCAGTCTAAGATGATTCAGGAGAACTGGCTTCCCCTTTGTACTTTATGAATTGGGGTTAATTTCATGTGCATGTGTTAACTGACTGACCGAACGCTGGAAACCAAACAGCACGTACTGGATTCAGTTACCCTTTTAACTGTCAAATTAGAGACTTGGGGATCCATTAGTGTTTCTGTTAACAAAAAAAAAAAGGATTTCATTAATTGAAATTAAATATAAGATGAAGTACTTTTTAAAAACGTAAAAAATAAATAAATAAAAATGATTAAACTTACATTCAACTGTATTAATAGTATATAAATGTTATATTATGAATTATATAAATTATATTATTTATAGTAGTATAAAAATAACACTGCGTTCATGGGAAGAGAGATCAAATATCACAACAAAACACAGACTAATTTAATCTAATCCAGACATACTAGTTTTAGTGCCAAGTAGCTCTCACTCGAGAATATTTGATTGGACAAAGCTCTGCGTAATGCAGGATGAGTCATCAATGAGTTCCACTAATTTTCCTAGACTGTACATTTTAAATCTGCACTTCTGCTAGAGGTGAGCTAACATATAAACATTTGGAAGTGCACTAATTAGATGCTGGGGCTCAACGTCCCTTAAACACTCTTACCTTATTGGCATGATTCATCGTGCATGACATAAAATCTAATGAAGACTTCGGGGATCCAGGAGAGCGATTCCTCTGTTGCTGGGCAGCTCTACAGGATCTGGAGGGCTTAAACTAATTATGTTTCCATCTCATGGGATTCTCCTTAACAAATCATACCTCAGGATGAGTCATATAGACACCATAGCCAAGTGTGAACATGCCCAGCTCATTTTCTTACAGTAATCTGGACTCATTTACAGCAATTAGCTCTACTGCTATAGAAAAAGGAGGGAAAATCATTACAGATAATAGATCATGTGTTTCTACACAATGGGATTCGTTGATAGGGTTAGCCTTTTGTTCTTTTTGCCCAATCACTGAAATGCAATATATAAAGAGATCATTTTACATAATTATAACGCTATTGTACTGTCAAACCTTTTCGATGACACAATGAAGAGTAGTTCTGAAGTTGATTTAGGTGTTGTTTCCTTTCATGCACTGACATTATACAGCCTGGATGTAATTAAATCACAGAATCAGCAGATAAGCCACTGTCAAGGTGATTTATCAGCCATTTTCTGATCAGTGTGAATCATCCTGACGCTGATGTTCTTAACTGAAGCGGTTTCACAGTGTCACGTTTGTAAGGTCAGCACATTGCAGTCTCACTGGATTGTCACCATTGCATTGTTTGTAATGCAACCCAGTTGCAACACCAATATTCTATCCCACTCATGCTGCTTGTGACAAAGAATGTATTTCATTATTACATTAATTGTATTATTTTATATTATGATAGCCTAATAAAATAATAGTGACTTTTTATTAATATTAATAGCATCTATTTCTTTTTTTATTCTTGCTTTTAATCACAAACACACTTTTTGGCCAAATGAGCCGTTCATTAAATGAACTGAGCAGCAGCGTGCATCTGGAAAGCGGTTAAAAAAGCCAATTTTAGCACCTATTAACTGAAATCACAGTAATTAAATACGAGGAATGAAGTATCACAGCAATTACATCTCCAGAGGCACCTCGCTGTTTTTAATCTTTGTGCGATTTCTACTACCATCTAAAAGGAGATAAGCTCTAGATTGTGTAAGGTAAAAATGCTTAAATAAAAAGACATAACATCCATCTAAACCAGCGGTGGCGAACTCCAGTCCTGGAGAGCCGCAGCCCTGCAGAGTTCAGCTCTAACCATAATTAAACCTCCCCTGCCTGTAGCTTCCTAGTAACCGTTCAGACCTTGATTAGCTTGTTCAGGTGTGTTTGATTAGGGTTGAAGCAAAACTCTGCAGGGCTGCGGCTCTCCAGGACCGACGTTCGCCACCCCTGATCTAAACAAAGAAATTGCAAGTGAAATAAGCTCTATATTGATTTAATTTGATCACATTTTGCTTACCCAGGTAGAGCTGACAGGAGTCAAGAAGGCTGGATTGCAGAACATGCTCCATTTATTGACAAACAGTACTATTATCAGACAAATGGCTCATAAATGAGGAAAAAATATACAATGACAGAAAAATATTTCTGAAGAACTGAACCTACTGTAAATGCTATGTATTTCATTTCAGCTTGTTTAAAATCCACACTGACGTTTTTGTGCAATACAGATGTCAGTGTAGGCACAGAAATGCTATGTTACATACAGCGTATTGAAAAACTATACTAATACCTGAATGTAGCGATATGACCACAGATGCTATAATTAATTGAATATACTGAAATGAGTTAATATTTCGGATACTATATGTAGTTAAAATCAAGCAACAGTGTTTCATTTACCACAAAGAGATCAGTGGCAAGAATCCAGTGGTTTCATTACATAAAGCTGTATTATATTACTTCTAAGGGGAAGTTCCTGAGAGTACAAAAACATTTTTATAAACCTTCAATTATAACACACACATATATGTAATACACAAAGTAAAACGTACCCAAAATATACATAGTTGTGCCGTTTAAATGTGCACACCACACAAAGATTCTCTCAGTGCCGGAATAAATGTAATTATAATATTTTTTAGAAACTCTAAAATCATAAATAAATATCCTTACGGCTTTAAATAGTTTCAGTATACAAAACATAGTACCACTTAATGTTATCCCATTGAAATGATTTCAGTGTAATACATTGTTTTTCGTTTTGACTTTGTCATTTTCTTATTATGAGGCCGTCTGGTCTGCGGTAGACACAAAAATTAAAACACCCAGCATCACTTGTGTCTTCACAAATGACTTTGTGCATCTAGCAAATGCACAAAAATACAAAATAACTTCCTCAAAAAAAATACAACAGAACTTTCTCAAATTCTTAGCTTGCCAAAGAGGATACATTTTTTTTTTTAAGTTGGCATGAAATGGAAATTCATCTGTTTTCTTAATGCATGTTATTGATTTCATTGTGAATTATTCTTTTCATAACATTTCTTTGAGCTTGTAATTTGTAATCAATATGTCCTAACTCAATCTTCTGGTGAAAGGACAGACTTCTCTCTGGTGACATGCTGGGCTTTTTCAATCATTTAAACTCTGCCCCCTTCTTATATTTAACTGCAAGCATGCATTCAGATCTGCCTCCATCCAATCAGCAACCAATGCATAGAACCAAGTCCCTGCCCTACATTTGATAATCCATTTCATTTGAATGCGCATCAAAATAACAGAAGAAAAAAATCTGTCACTACTTCAGCTACACTGTGACAAAAAATTATGTTGTTTGTAATATTTAATGAACTTCCTAGCATTTCATAATTAGCAAGTAATGCCCAAATCTGATGTTTTCTTCCCTAGTATTTGGGTTCATGGGAAAATATACTTTTTTTTGCAGAACATCAAACAAACAGTTTCAATCACATTTCAGTCTGATTATCAGAGAGTACAGTGACAAATCTGAAGATCAAAGGTCATACCCAGTACTGATTGTTTCGCAAGGTGGGATTGGTGGTCCTGCAAAGCTGTGAAACTTCAGGCTCCAGGTCTCCAAAAGAACACATAGATGTGCCATACGTTCTGGTTTGCAGTCTGGTTATGGTTAAACTTCCCGCGTTTCTTGGAGTAAGAGGAGTGACCGTCACGACGGGGACGGTTGCAGGCCACTGTGGCTGGTCCTGATGGGATGGGTTGTCCGGATGAGCAGAAGCACCTGATGTACTACTCTTTAAAGGCTTCGGTTTCTTCCTCCAGTTCCGTCTTAAGAGCAGCACCAACACAACCACAATGATGACCAGAAGCAGAAGAGCAAGAAGAGGCAAAAGGATGATCATTGAGTTTGAGGAGGAGCCTGTCTGGGAAACTGACTCTACTTTTACTGGGGTATTATTTATGGGATACATTTCCTCCACCCCATGGGTTGGTTTTAGGTTAGTAGTACCCGTGTCAATGCTGTTTGAACTACCCCAACGGTTGCGACCTTTGAGTCTTGAACTGGATTTGGTCACCCGGTGCGTTGGCTGCACAGGTGGAGCTGTTGAAGATGGAAACAAGCTCATTGCAGCGGTTTGGTTATGAAAAACAGGTCTGATCGTGGTTATTGGGATCACCGTTGACATCACCAGAGTAGGAACATGAGGTACAATGCTGAAAGCAAAAATCCCATTGGCAGGTTGGACGTTATTGGCTTTAAGCACAAATCTGAAAGAGTCATTTACTTCATGGACGCCTGTCAGGTTCGCCTTCAACTCAATGGCCAATATCTCCTGCTGCAGTTCACTAAAAGTGAAAGATCCCACAGATTCTGCTTTCTTTCCCTTGCTCCCAGTCGCCCGGACAATCCTGCCGTTCTCTGGAGGTGAGGTAATTTCAAACAACGGGTCACTATCACTCAACAAAGCAAGTTCAGACACATTCAGCAAATGTGACTTCAGCTTAATTCGAACTCCGTTAGGAAATGTTGCCCCTTCTGCATACTTAATGAGGGGTTTCACAGTGATGTTCACTACTTGGTTAGTTAGGTTTGCTTCTGTTGTGAAGACCACAAACTCAAAGTTATCATGGAACGACTCAAGGTTGACCATGTGGTACCTTAGCTTTTCCTCCTGGAGATCATCTTGATTGAAAACAGTGATGTCCTCATTGTCTAGTAAGAGTTTACCATACTGTGGCGGTACTGTGATTTTATAGTGCACGGTAGTGTTTTTACCATTGGTCACTGCGGCCAGGTGTGACCGTGTGAGAGTTACAAAAGTGTGCCCCTGGTCCAGTAGCACCTCTGTGTTGTTAGCCAGTGAAACAGTGATCTCTACCACTTCCAGATTGAAGAGTTTATATAACGGACGATGATGGCCATCAGTGACGCTGAAGTAGAATGCTCCAGATGAAGGACTGCCATCGTGGATGAAGAACACCTCTCCATTATTGATTTGAGCCTGGGAGAAGGAGTCCACCGACTCGTTCATGCGCTCTGAAATGGCTAGAAAACCATTGCTAGGTTTGCTAATCACTGTGTACTGGATTTCACTTGGTGGGTTGTCTAGGTCAACCACACTTAAGTTGTTGGGCCCGATAGCCACGGTGTCTCCTTGAACGACTTTGAGGCTGGGAGCTTTGGTCTTCAAAACAGGCGGTTGATCATTTATGGGGATTATAGTGATGTTGAATGATTCTGACACAACCTCTGAGGTATCTAGGGGGCGGGTTGGTGGTTTGCTCTTTAGGTTCAGATACACATCAAAGTCAAAAGGGTCATGGGTGGTCTCAGAGTTGTCGTGATGGTATGTGATTCCATACTTGTTAAGGACAAACTGAGAGAAATTGGGCTTTTCTTTTGTAAGATTTCGTTGCCCAACCATGATGACACCATGCTTTGGAAGAGATGTGACCTGATACCAAACCTCATAAGAGCTGCGCTTGGATTCAGGTTGTTTCGTTATGAGATTGGATGCATCCAGCATTGATTTGTCAATTAGCACTTTATCTCCTTCAGTTGCCGCCGCACCTGGATATGAATAATAATAATAAAAAAACAACATGATACATTTTCTTTGACAAAAGCCATGACATTTCAGTCAGAATGACAGATTTAGAGTACCTTTGGCTATTTCTACAATATTACCTTTTAAATTCTTAACATTTTAAAGCTTTTACTTAAAGTCTATTCTACATTAGTCATAATGAAAATACCTATTCAATTTACCGCTACATATGCAACTGTTCAAAATCCTGAAAAAATGTATCATGGTTTCCACAAAATATAAGAAATGTTTCTTGAGATTCAAATCAGCATTATTACAATGACTTTTTAAAATCAATTTTGGAATAACGGAATAAATATCATTTAAAAATATATTACAATAGAAACAGTTGTTTACATTTTAATAATATTTCACAATATTACAGTTTTTGTTGTATTTTTGATCAAATAATACAACGTTATTGACAGTAAATAGGTAACTACACTCTAAAAGATGCTGGGTTGTTTCAACCCAATTTTGGGTCAAATATGGACTAACCCAACTGTTGGGTTAAATTTTGGTTACATTTTTAAATGAACTTTTTAACCCAACAGTTGGGTTAGTCTATATTTGACCCAAAATTGGGTTGAAACAACCCAGCATCTTTTAGAGTGTAGTTACCTATTTACTGTCAATAACGTTGTATTATTTGATCAAAAATACAACAAAAACTGTAATATTGTGAAATATTATTAAAATGTAAACAACTGTTTCTATTGTAATATATTTTTAAATGATATTTATTCCGTTATTCCAAAATTGATTTTAAAAAGTCATTGTAATAATGCTGATTTGAATCTCAAGAAACATTTCTTATATTTTGTGGAAACCATGATACATTTTTTCAGGATTTTGAACAGTTGCATATGTAGCGGTAAACGGAATAAATATCATTTAATAATATATATAATAATAAATAATATTTAATAATTTAAATATATTACAATAGAAACAGTTGTTTACATTTTAATAATATTTCACAATATTACAGTTTTTGTTGTATTTTTGATCAAATAATACAACGTTATTGACAGTAAATAGGTAACTACACTCTAAAAGATGCTGGGTTGTTTCAACCCAATTTTGGGTCAAATATGGACTAACCCAACTGTTGGGTTAAATTTTGGTTACATTTTTAAATGAACTTTTTAACCCAACAGTTGGGTTAGTCTATATTTGACCCAAAATTGGGTTGAAACAACCCAACATTTTTTAGAGTGTAGGTAATACTAATAGGTACTAGGTGATATTAATTGTTTTGTCAGATTTTCATACTGTACCTTTATTTTTGAGGAGCACAGAACTTTGTTCAGGTCCAATATTTTCATAAGAAATGTCAATTTCAAACATCTGGGTTTCAAGCGTGGCAGGTGGAGAGGACACAGTAAATGTGAACTTGTCTAGCACTGACCATCCCAAAGACATCCCATGACTTTGCTGATATGCTACTTCACCCTCATCCACCTGTAATGATTCAAGTAACTTGAGTTACTAATATATAAAACGTGAAAAAAATAAAACATGATAAAAAAACAACAAATGCCCCCCAAATCCTCAAAAAAAAGTCTTGGACATTCCTCTTGAACCGGCTAACTAACACATTTAACTTGACATGACAGGCTCTCAGATTATGCTCATAGTTAAAGTAAATTTATAATTCATTGCTCTGCACTCTGATATGCATGGCACTGACTTGGGAAAAAGAGGTTAGCAACACTCACCATTTGTTGTGTGAAGGATGAAATATCAGTTGTGGTCTTGTCAGTCTTCAAATTGACCAATTTTCCTAATTTTGGGGTATTGATCACAGTAAAATATATGGTTCTGTTTGAGATGCCGGTATCGTCATTGGTTACAGCCTGAAGAATGTTGTTTGAAATCAAAGATAAGGAGCCTAGATGAGAAAAACACACACACCTATAAGAATAGCCCTGAAAACTGACAAAACAACACATTGGTCTGGTACAGACTATAAACAAAACCACATTGTCTGGTGTATAGTAGCTCGTGTGCTTTGAAATGTGAATGTTTAGCTTTTTTGCGGTGAGGTTTAAAAGAAGTGCATCTGAACCAGAAATTACAACCAAAAACTAATTTGCAAGCTATATTTGCTTCAAACGTGTAAACCCGGTGAAAGATTGAGGGAAGGCAAGCATTTCAGGATCCAATTTCAGATCACTTTCAGGTTTAAGCACATTTGGAGTGAATGAACTTGAAGAACTACAAGATATATGACAGGAAGGTTTTTGCTAAAATAATCTACCGATTCCTATCAAGACCTTAACTGAAGGTCACAGTTTCTGTATTCATCGTTTTCTGTTGTGTCTAACCATTTGAAAGAGGCCCTGGCGACCCACTCAGCACAAAGACCACAAGAACAGCATGACAGGATGTGGTGTTGAGAAGCATTAGTTAAACACATGGATGCAACTCTAACAGAATATTGTGTCTTCTGGTCAAGCTTTCTGTTAATTTATTATCAATTACTAATTATTTATTTAATAGTGTTCCAAGTTCCTACCCATGTTAAAAATGAATTAGGAATAAAGCAAAAAAGACAAAAAGTGGAAATAAAGACTAATGAACTCCATGAACAAATAAATTCAGATCCTTAAGAGTTAAGCACACTTCTGTGAAAAATAACAGATAAAAGTATTTCAGATGTTACCTTTTAGTTCAGTGTTTCTATAGCCATCTATAAAATTGAAAGCAGATGTAGTTTTTCCTAGCTCTGGTTTTAAATGTGACATGTGACAAAGTGTTTCTAAAATTAAGCAAATGAGTGTAGTCTAATAATTTAGGGACTTTTTCCAGTGACTCGTTCAGTGTTCCAAGGCTATGTATAGCCCGACAGTTAAAGTCATTTTGCTATTACAGTACATGGATGGGTTGCTCTAAGATTAAGAAACCATGAAACACTGTGTTGATGCTCAGAGACTTAGGAGTCTTAACTGGCTATGAATGGGTGGAGACAGAGTTGTTGACTTTATACAGAATGGAAAGGATGTGTCAATCTGGTGCTCTGACTTGGCATGTGAGGCAGCCAGATGCTGACCTCACTGCTGTAACATGACATGTTATTTTACTCTTAACTCCATAAAAAGAGATGGAGAGCCCAATATTTTCTGGAACTTAAGCAAACTAAGATTCCATACAAAATGAAGACTTTTTTTGACAGGGATCTAAAGTGCTGTCTCTAAAAATGATTTTTTTTTTAAATACTTGATATCATCTAATATTTGATATCACAGAAACCATTTCCTTACAGATAATCTGTGTGTGACAGAATATACCAGATCACTGCTGAAGTTCACCTCATGTTAATCAGTGTTACCTGGAAACACCTTAAGAGGTCCAGCCTCCTCTAGATTAAGAACCAGGGCACGAGCTGTAATACTGAATATCTGCCTGGGAGCAAAGTTCACACCATCATTTACTTGGAAGTTGAAGCCTCCTGCCATGGGGCCTGAGAAGAAAAAGAGAACAAACATTTCCAGGAATCTAGCTTACAATGCACTGCAACCTCAGAGAGGCTTTATTATGTGATCTCACATTACGCACAGCTTACTTTACATAAAAATGTCACAAAAAATAAAAAAATAAATGAAAAATAATGAAGACACAGTTGGCAAAGTCAAAGTGTTTTTTTAAAGAATATTTTGGTATAAATACAGTATTAAAGGCTAAAACTCAATCTTTACTCCTTTCATAAATAATTTGATTTATTTTTCAGAACTGAATCCATTGGATGGTGTATACCACGTCCAAACTGCATGCCAAACTAATTATTCCTTGCCACCATCACACACAAGCCTAAAAGACAAGCATAGGAGGAACAGTGGTATGCTATGATTTAATGCACAACACTGGCATCTAGTGGTTAAACATGACACACTATTGCACAGCTTTTGTGAAACTGGTCTGATAATGTGATGATTGTTTTTATAAATTAAGAAGGTTGTGTACAATATCTCACCACTATGTACAAAAAGCATTTGCTGCTGGTCAATGTGAGCTTGAGTAAAGTTCATGATAGGCCTGTTGGGGGCAGTCTTTAGAGCCAGGTGACCATTGCTGGGTTGGGTAATGATGTACTCCAGCTGCTCAGGAAGTGTGTCCTCATCTTCTGCCTTCAGATCCTCTGGGGTGATCTCTGTGATGGAGTCCACCCACACCTGAGTAAACAATCAGACAAATAAAGAGGCACAGATTAGATTAGTAAATGTTTGTAGTTTATTCAGACAGCTTAGCCTGAACGGTAAAATTGATTAAATATACCCCCGGTTTCACAGACAAGGCTTAAGCCTAGTCCCAGACTAAAATGCACGTATGTTCTGATTTAACAGTAAGAAACTTGCACTGACATGTCTCTTAAAATATGTTAGCACTATCGATTTGTCTCAAGATGCACACCAGTAATGCTTTTTCTAAGGCACGTTTATAAAAGATACTTAAATGTCCAAACTGAACTATGGCCTGAACCTGGCTTAACCTAAGCCCTGTCTGTGAAACCAGGCCACAAATTCTGAAACCCCTGAATGACACATTTCTGCTGAGAAACTCTCCTGTGCTCTGAGTTTCATACCTTTATTCATATCACGTCATGGTCCATTGATTGAATCTCACTCCAACTGAACACAGTTTGGGGAAAACAAGCTTAACTCAACAAATATGAATGCTGATCTCCTAATCAGATTCCAAAGAACAGTACACAGAGAAGATAAGGAGACATCCTGACTCTTGCTGATTACAACATATTTTTGGTTCAAAACTGTATGCAAAGGTTGTATACAGTATATGTACACGTGTACTGTACTGCATAAAGAGGAATCAGGATAATCAAAAATCAGGAGAAATCGAGAGAAACAGCTTATATGTGTAAAAAAGCTTTAAAAAACTCCAATATTGTTATTAATGAGAGGGTGCAAAAAATCTTCTAAATCATGCTTTTACTTTACCCAAATACACTTTGATAAGTCTGTAATAATAATTAATATTTTAGAAATGTCGGGACATATTTCATGGGAAATTGCATACATACGGCATTTGTCTGTGGGTGTCAAGTTATATCCGCACAGAAAAATATAGCTCTGTCTGGGAGAAGTGTGAAAAGCTCTGCAAAACTCTGAAAATGATGGATTATGGATCATTCAAAAAGGCAAACTCTTTGAGGAATCACTGGTTGTAAAAACAAAAACAAAAATGTTTTAATTGCCCATCTGCTCGGATAAGATATTCTGTATCAATGTGTAGATCAGTACATCGAACCACATTCATCTGTGCAGAGCAGCAGTGCTGAAGCACAACCAAACCATACAGTTCTATTTTTTAACCATTAGAGGGTCAAACATTACATAGTGTAGCTTTAATGCAGTTAAAAGTTTAGAGAAAAGAAAATAAACATGCAGTTTGCAATTTCTTGTGGATATCTAATCATCTAATTTCTCTAAACCCCTGTCAAGCAACTGAATACAAAGCACTGAAATAAATAAATCAGACTGTAATAAGAAATATTAATTTGTAATAAAAAAAAACATTCATTTTAAAAGTTGTAGCGAGCCACCTTGTGGGCATTTGAAATATTAAATCTTTGTGTTTGGGATCAACAAGCAAAACCATTTAAAACTGTGTCATTTCAATAATTAAAGTCAAAGGACTTAGGAGCCAAAAGTACTTTTGTGAACCATTTCTGAGGGTATTTCAGCTGAAAAATCCTTGAAGTTCAAAATCCATGAAACTGAAATGCCTTGAGGAATATTAAGTATGCAGAGCAGCCCTTCTGAACGTCCCTGATGGTCTGTGATCTGTGACTTAGACTTATCTTAAAGTTGATGCCAATAATTTACATGTCTACAACTAGTAGCTTGGCCTTATGGGTCTCAGAAACAACTGTGTACTCGTCTCTGTACTCGTCCGTACTGTATTCTTCTGTGACTGATAGAGACCAAAGACAATGTTAGAACCCACACAATGAAATATTAAAACAGTACACAAATCTTTTTTCCAGATCTCCGCAGAGTTCTAATACTCCATAAAACATTCTCAGACTGGGACCTCAGCTGACTTCAGTCATAAAAAGAAGTTTATATATAGTAATCTCACCCTGACAACCCTGTTGGCTGTAATGGCTGGAGGCTCGTCATTGACGGCTGTGATCTGGACATACACAGTCCATGGTGCACTGTGTTTCCGCAGGTCTGTGTCATTTGCTGTGACAGTAAAGTGGTCCTCTAAGGTCTCTGTGTTGTCATGGACATAATAAATAAACTCTTGCTCCACCTGCCATGTAAAAAACAACATTTACATTTAGTCATTTTGCAGACGCTTTTATCCAAAGCGGCTTACAATTGGGGAATACATAAAGCGATTCTTCTTAAAGAGGCAAACAGAATCAGGAAGTGCTGAAATACCAAGTTTTAGGCATTGTTCAAATAAGTACATGCTAGAAAGGGAAGGAATAAATAAAGAGAAAGAAAAGTTTTTTTAGTTTTTTTTTTTAGATGAAGTCAAGTAGCGTTTAAAGAGATGAGTTTTCAGCTGTCGCTTGAAAATTGTCAGGGATTCAGCATTCCGGATAGGGGTGGGAAGATCATTCCACCAGCCAGGAACGGTGAACGAAATAATATATAAATAAAATACAAAACAAAGTATAAAAACACTTGAGTGATTGTTTATGCCTTTTCAAAATCCATTCTTTTAAAATAAAGAATGTTAAAAATTGGGACACCTTTACCTGCTTCCTTGTAAAGTAGGTTGTGGGAATCCCTCTGAAACGTGAATTCTCAATGCGGCCATGCAAAGGACCCTCTGAGATATAGTACACAAAATTTAGGCCTGAGAAATGTGGGTTTGTTACACTTATAACGTCCTCTGTGAGAGCTTTAGATGCCCCTTCCTTCAGAGTGATATTGGACACCTCAATGGGTATGAGGCGTGGGATGATATCCACAGACACGATGATGTCATTGACCTCTCCGACCCCATTGCTGGCCTCCAGAGTGAATGAATCACTCTCTTGGCCAGGTGCCACCTGTACATACTGAATGTTGCCAGCATTAACATCCTGCTGGGAAAAGGTCACTAATGGGTCCTCTTGTGTTCCTTGGTACTGATCTTTAACCTCAATAAAATGGCGTAAATATCCATGAGATGGGGCAACTTTGACAGTGAAGGTTATTTCTGAGGGTAAACTAGCCTCATGAGTCACCTGAAAAGAAACAGAAAAAATATTTTATTCTTGTATCTTACATACAGTGCTGGGGAGCAACTAACTAACAGTAGCGATGCTACAAACTTAAGTACATTTTCATTTTCAGTGGATTTGTAGCTTTTTCCAGCAACAAGCTACTTTTTCCCCATCAAGCAGCAGTTAAATAGCTTCTCTGGCTTTATTGGGAATAGCACATTAGCATAGTATTCTAGTATGCTACTCTAAATGTAGCTTCTCTCATAGCGTCAGAAAGTCAGATTCATTCAAGTCAATCAGTTCATCCTAAATGGTCCCATAATGTAACACAAGAAAATGTGATTCTATCTAGTGAATCAGTTTGTTCAGATGGTTATTATGTTTAACTGCTAAAAATTATGATAAGCTTGTAGTTAGGTAAATTACAGTCTTAAAGTAGTTTCATTCAAAACTGTTTATACCAACGTAAGAGCTAAAAACAAAACAAAAAAAGTCTATGAATGGTAAAAGACATGAATCTATAACAAAAAACAAAATCAAAAATAGCTCAATAAAAGATCTAACAGATATTGACATTTACCTTGTGTTTATTGCTCTCAATCTTGACTGGTTTTCCCTCCTCCACCAGCAAGGTTTTGTTATGAATGACACTGGGTGGCCTTTGATGGCTTTCCAGGTACACCTTCACATGGATTTTAACATCAAGTCGAAGATCCTTTGCTTCCACCAGGAGTGTAAAAACATCAGCTAGATTCTTACTGTTGTCGTGATGATAAGACAAGTAACCATTTCTCAGATCATGCTGGGTGAATGACTCAATTTTGCTGCCTTTTAAATACAGCCCACCATGATTTGGAGCATCTTGGATTGTGAATAATATTTCATTGTCTTTTCGGATGTCAAGGTTTGTCTCTACGCTAAAGTTAGCATTAGTAAGTGTTTTGGCTTGCCCTTTCTGAACCAACAGGCCTGTGTTGTTGCCAATTTTTAAATAAGCATCCTGTGCGCTAATATCCAACAGAGAGGACACATAGTGTTTGCCATCTGACACAAAAAGAACAAAACGCCCAGAATTCATCCCGCGGTGAATGAACAGCACTTGTTTCTGTTCCAAGTCTTCTTGGCGAAACTGGTACAGCTTTTGTGAAGTGTCATTTGCAAGAACCAAATCCCCTATTGGGATACCACGCCGGGTGTAGACAAGCTGCCCGTCACTGAAGTCTGAATCTGCATCATGGTGGCACAGGTCATCAAGTGTAAGTAATCTTTGTCCATTTCTGACAACATGAAAAACTTTGTCTACAATGCGGATGGGTTTCTCATCATTAACCAGCTCTATCGAGATGTTAAAGATGCCCTCCTTGGAGCCAATGTCATTATCTGTTATAGAAAGCTTTGTTACTGGACTTGTGGAGGCTATGAAGGTAAAACTATCAAGAGTCGTTTCACTGTCATCGTGAATATACATAATACGCTCCTTAAGAACGTCTTGATTGGTAAAGGACATAATATTGTCAAAGTCTTTGGTAGAGTTGGACAAGTTGATTCGCATTAGCTTGCCATGGTGCGGTGTCTTTGTGACTGTGTAGTACATTTCTTTAGTGCTTAGAGTTTCAGCAAACAATTCATCCTTTGTAATGAGTTTATTCTCACCTTCAAGAAGTGAGAGCCCACTCTTTGTCATGAAAATGCTGTTGACATCTGCTTTAATAATGATTTTGAAAATGTGACTACCAGAATGTGCATGCTTTGAGAATATGTAGAAATCAAATTCATCACTCGTGTCCTCGTACGATCTTTCCGTTAGTTGGTATTCGACTTTCAGATCTGTGATGTCCTTTTGACAAAATGTGGAATTTACATCCAGCTTGGCATTATTCACTTCAATTATTCCCTTTTTTGGTAAAGTCAACAATCTAAAACGAAGCTCATCCTCAGACAAATTTACACCGTGTGCTATTGCATACAGATGCTCTGAGTCAAATACAGCTCTCGTAATTTTATCCAACTCTACAGGTTTATTGTTTTTTATTGTGTAGTCTATCCACTTTACCTTTATGGGAAACACAAATTCTTCAGTAGCTCTGGAGGCCACGGTTACTTTACACTTGAAGTGGTCTGTGCTATTACTTGTTTGGATGGACTGGTAGGTGCTGAGGTACCTCAAACGTTCCTTTTCAAGAACTCTTTGGGAAAACGAGTTGGTAATCTTCCATTCGCCACTTGAGTGCATCCTCTGGAGCTCACCAAATCTGGGTGGCTCAATTACGTCGTAACGGATTTCAACTACCTGCTTTAATGCATTGGTCCAGATGGCCAGTTGGTTGGTGCTTAAAAGAAACATCTCTCCTTGGATAACTTCCAGTCCCGTGTTATTGGAAATTTTATACTTAAGTCCTACAGCCATGATTCTAAGAACCACAGTGTTGCTCACCTTCTCTCCATCACTGACTCTCAACACAATCCTAGAGTTCCTCACACCCGTGTGGACATAATATATCTTACCAGCTACAAGAGCTGAATGGGAAAAAGAAGTTACCAGTGCACCTGGATTGTCTTCGTTCTCCAAATACCCTGCGTCGGCATTAAGGTTCCCTAACACAGAGTAAACAAGGTCTGTGTAATTGCTGTCAATGTCTATGGCCTTTAGAACATTAGTGGTCAGTCTCTTCTTGGAGTTTTCCAAAAGAGTAAACAGATTTCCCTCAGGCAGACTCAACTCAGGGGCGTCATTGGTTGGTGTAACCGTGACATTAAACCGTTACAACTTGTGTCCACTTAAATAGCCTGGCACTTCCTTTCTGCTACTGGAGAACAAAGAGAATATGAAGAAGTCCTGAGGGTCTTCAGATCCCCCATGGATGTACATCACTCTGCCGTGCCACAAATCCAGCATGCTGAATGTATGTTTAGCCTGCTCCTGGTCTACATCAAGCCTAAGCTGGCCATGCACTGGCTGCTCTGCAATCCTAAAGATGATCTGAGACTGACGGATGCCAAGCTTCTTGAAATCAAGGTTTACTTTAATATGCTTTGAATCCAAAGATCCCCGACCACCTTCTGGGACAACAAGGTTCCTAAGCTGTAGAAAATTGTGTCTGTACTTCTTGACAAGGCCTTTGGCTAGGGTGGATACATCAGTGGATGGCAGCTGAGTGACAGAGTCAATGAAGGCAATGGGAAGGGTTGTTGGACTCACTGTGCTGCTTATATCCAGCTCCTTTTCAGGTTCACAGCCAACAGAGATGTCTTTGGTTACCACAGCATTGGGGAGACCCATTTTGACATTATTTATTTTAATATCTCTGAAGCATCCTTTAAAGGAGCCACCTTTAACACGTTTACCTGCTACTGAGGAAAGGCCAACCTTTCTGACCTCAGAACGTGTGCTGTCATCTATTCCCGCAAGGAAAAGGGAACCTTTCAGATGAAAGGTTTTTGATCTAGAGGTAATGACTGACTTTACAGACTCTCCATCTAATGTGAGTTGGAGGTTTTTCAGTGTGAAAAGGAGCTTAACGTTGTGCCATTTGTTGTCATTGATGAAGGTGAGGGAACGTAGCTCTGTTTTACTTCCGTCTTTGCCGATTACTGCAGCAAGGAGACCTTTCTGGATCTCCAGTGCAACAAAATCTCCCTGTCGAGCTGAGTTGAACATGACGATCCCTTCTTCAGCTGATGTGTGGATTGAGCATTCAAAAGTCCATTCATGTTGTGCCGTCCAAGGAGGAAGGGATACATAAGCTTGTGAGCTGAAAAAACTGATTGGGTCATCCTCATTGGCAAAAAACTGAGGGCTGCATCCTAGGGAAACCTCATAGACATTCTTGAACCCTGAGTAGGGCCTTAGCGATGAAAGGAGGTTGTGCTGATTAAATATTACTTCATCAAGGCAACCACGAAAGCCATTGAGATCTCTGGACAGATAGGCCTGATCCAAACCTCCCGTACCACCAACATATAGGCCGTCATTGATGTGCAGCTCTCGCTCTGGGCCTCCATTCAGATGGGTTCCACTGTCTGAGAGAAGGATCTGCTGTCCAGATCCCAGATCCAACCTTACCTGTCAATGACAGAAACAATGTAAAAAAAACAACAACTTTCCTTCCTTACACAATCCTATACATAAGAACACACAGATTTATATTTTTTATAAATACTCTAGACATAACTGGGGTCCAAATACTTTTCAAATAAATCTGAATTGAAAATAATTTTGTTTATGCTAGGCTAATACATACAACATTAAAGTAAACAGTTAAAGTAAATGTAAAAAAAATAATAAAGTAAATAAATTAAAGTAAATATTTTCCAAATAATCTTAATAATTTGCTTTGGCTTAAATACAGTGACAGTATAAAGGCACTAGGGCTGTCGCAATTCGTCGATTTTATTCGACTATTCGATTTTTAAAAATCCTCGACTTCATTTTGTCAACTAACCGGCAAAATACCGGAAGTGGTGCATTTCACGGACGAGAATCCATAAAACACATTTAGACTGGTTCCCAAGGCTGCATGATATATTAAACCCATTTAAAAATCATAATTAAGCATAATTGTGAATTTACAAACGCTACGATTTAATTAAATAATTATATGCCATGCAGTTCTAATACAGTATATGCGCTTTAATTATTTACATGTGTGTAGGTTAAGTACGTGCGTCACACTGAGGCTCCCGTTCACAGTAGTTCCACAGGAGCTGTTATCATTATCATGTGGAGTGTCTCAAACTCCATCTCTGCATGTTGTTGTGAGTTTGTGTTTATTATGATGTACGTACATTAGCTCTATTGTTTATAATACATTATGTATTTTAACAGTTTTGTTCAATAAAACCATATGATTTCTTGCTTTTGATACTTTATTTGAACTAATTATTATTTGCTATACATTGCTATTATATATGTATTTTAAGTAATTTTAAAGGCTATTGTTCACTTACATCTATTTTTATTACCACAAAAAAATGTATTATAATTATAGGGCCCTATGAAATCCGTTTTATTTCCAAATTCAGTTTTTTTCCATTTTAATTTTCTATACTCTGTTTTAATGGTTAAATTAAATTTGTAGCCCAAAGATATACTCTATAAAAGGAATCTTATGTGAATGCCACCGAGTGAAATGTAAAAACCAAAATCCATTTTAGTAATTCATGCAAGGTTTTCGAACTGGATTGTGGGAGTATCTATTTCTCTCACAGTGTCAACTAAGTTCACATTCTTCAGACTTCCATTAAGTCACCAGGTTTGTAATGTATACCTTAAAGGAAGGTGCCAAGGCGGAAGAGTCTGTGGTGAAGCAGCACAGTACCATAACTAGACCATGAAAAAAATTCACCACTCCATTTCATCTGAAGAGGATGGTGATATTTTATGTGTTGCGTTTATGTCTCAACACAAAATGCTTGTCAGTCTTGATAAAAAGCTTTTAGAAATACAAATTCATTATCACTTTTTTCTCTCGAATCAGATTCTTTTCAAGCCTAAATGGAATTGACATGTTTCCACACGTCGTTTTGTTGTGGTAGATCTAAACATTGCCGAAGGTGAAGTACCAACACATGACTCACCTGCAGTCTGCCAGCATTCATCTCCAGCAGCAGGAAATCATTCTGCCCTGCAGCCAGGAAAAGCAGGCCGCTCAGGCTGGAGGTGCGGAAACGAACGTGCAGTGTGTTACGGCTAGACATCTCTGTCCCTTTTAACTGCACAAATCCATCACCATAGAATGAAGCTGCACATAAGAAAATATCACCCATGATGCTTTTTTTTTAATTTATTTTTTATTTTTTTAATGCTCCATGAGTCAATTGTACACTGTTAAAAATGTTGGTAACACTTTACAATAAGGTTCATTAGCTAACATTAGTTAACTACTTTAGTTAACATTAACTAAGCATGAACGATACTTCTACAGCATTTATTAATCGTAGTTCATTTTAATTTCAACATTTACTAATGCATTATTAAAATCAAAAGTTGTGCTTGTTAACATTAGTTAATGCACTGTGAATTAACATGAACTAACAATGAACAACTATACTTTCATTAGCTAATATTAACAAAGATTATGAAATACTGTAATAAATGTATTGTTCATTGTTCGTTCATGTTAGTTAATACATGAACTAACATTAACTAATGGAACCTTATTGTAAAGTGTTACCAACATTTTAGTGTGAAATTACAATATATTCCAGGTTAATAACTGCATTACTTTCACAGTAATTTCACAGTGGGACTTCTCTTTTATGAAGGCACCCAGCATGCAATACAGCATGAATAGATCATGCTGCAGTGTTTTTTTTTATTGGTTTTATTTGTGCCATTGAACTTGTTTTTGGTTCACTTTTAGCAGTTTGTGTTGTTGGTTTATTTTGTAATGTTGGTTTATGTTGTACCTGTTGTTTTTATTTGTTGAGCGTTACCATTGTTGTGTTTTGTATGTCGAGTATTGATGTCACATCTTTTGTCACACTTCTGACATGACTAGATCAGAAATTTGAATATGAATATGCAAGGTCAAAGAGCCCAAACAAATGCTAATCACTAACCACCATTATGGTGACTTCAAAACAATTACAGCAGTAAACAGCTAAATTTCTCACAGTGGCACAGTTAAAGACCACTTTATAATTTGAATTCACAGAGCAGTAAATTACTGTGATTTAGCATAATTCTGCTATTCATTCACAGTAAATGACCCAGCATGCATTGATTTCACAGCAAAATTCTGACTACAGTAATAAATAACTCTTTAATCCTATAAATTTGCTGGCAAGTTTTTACAGTGTAGCAGAGTGAAAGCTTCGCTTTCATTTATTTGCATATTGTTAATGAGTTTTTGTGAATTAAACTTTTTGTTAATTACATCACTTTTTAATTACAGTTTAACTCATAATAAATTATTGAATTATGAGAAAGGACATTATTATTATTATTATTACTCAAAGATATAAGTTTTCATTTATTCACTCATGCATGGTTTTCTTTTTTATGTGAAACACAAATAAAAAAAAATGTCATCCATACAATGAAAGTTAATGGCGTCCAGGGTTTTCGTGGACTTCCATTGATTTTCGTTGTATGGACAAAAACCATTTAAACGTTTTTCTTATTTTTTGTGTAACGCAGAAGAAAGAAAGTACAGGTCTGAAATAACACGAGGGTGAGTAACTGAAGTCAGTGTTTTCATTTCTGGGTTAACTTTCCCTTAAAAGTTACGTTTTGATTTTCACACAGACATTAAATAAAAGTGACTGAATGAATAAAAACAGCAACACTTTATAGGACAAGCCGGATGGCGCCAGGGAAGCACTGTGATACCCATGTGCATGTGCTGGCATGCTCTGCCCTGACAGCACCCTGTGCTCAACATAAAAGACTCTGACATGGCCACATTGTCTTAGCCCTGCTGTCCATTGATGGAGGCCTGGACGCAGCTGTTTTCTAACCCAGCCACTCCACATCACCCTTTAATCTATATACACTAATGTGTTCAACACCCTCAATTTGTATGGCATAGAACACTTCTACTTTAGGACTGAAATGCCACACTAATGTTTAGTGTCATTCTGTCAAACCATGCAAGTTCACCACGGTGCCATTACTCATTTGTGATGCTATAAATTGCATAAATAAAATTTCCTGTTTTAATTCATATTTATTCGTTTTTAAATCCTTTGTTTACAATGCTCAAGGCACCATGCAAAAATTCAGTGAAGCAATGTGATTCACTGAACTTTGCATGGCGGACACAAGCAGCCTAATAAAACCGTGGAAACACAATTGTGGAATATGGGATTATATTAACATTTACTAGGCAACAATGAGTAATTATGTATCATTCTTCTCCATACTGGTCTAAAGGCAAAGGGGGAATATTAAAACCAAACATTCTATCAATGTACAATGCATCTACAGTACACTAAAAATTGAGGTCAAACTTTGTGGCCAAATCTGAAATGACAGTAAGAGAGGAGAAAACAAGAATGCCATGCTATCTTTAGTCTCTTTTATCACACAAAGAGGTCCCACATCTGACATCCTCGAGATTTTATAAGTCTGGACACTGTGCTCCAAAATAAGACCACGTCAAACATCTTGATAATTCAGTGGAATCGCTATTGTGAAGCTCAACACCGAACAACTGCAACTGATGCAACAATAAAATACAATTTAGCACATTTGCAAATTATACCAATATTCAAATGTTCGTGGAATTACAGGAATTTGCTAAGACATTTAAGACTTTGAATAATGCTGGATAGCAAAGCTTTAAAAAAAAACAAACAAAAAAACATGACCACTTGAATAAACATGCTGGCTAATACGATTTCATAATGCATGTAGGTGAACCACTGCATTTCGTTGTTATTAATAACTAAAAGTCTGTTTTCTGTGCCTAGCACTGACATTTGGCAAGCTGTGAATAACAAATCCGTGCAATCACGAATGTTATATTCTGTGCACAGACTGCTGTCACATCAGTTTTGGTTCATGATTTGAGAGGCACATGCAACACTGGCAATGAACGTGATTTGGATATTGAAGAGCCAACTGTAAACATGTACATTTGTTTGTATTGACGTCAGTTAATCCACAAACAATTAAAACGACAAGAATTTATATTTTTATTACTCAGACAGCAGCCATAAGAAAGAGCTAAGAAGTCATTGCCATACTGTCTGGTGCATAAAACCACATAGAAACGTGATATTTGGTGAAAATCATAAATCATTCGCTTGCCCTTGCTGAATCTCTCAAAGGTAGACACTAAGGTAAAGGCTGAAATGTCCTTCTTTACATCAGCCATACTTGAGCAGTTTTGAACAACTTACCCCCTTGTGCGAGTGCGACAAAGAGCAACAGTAGTCCGTTTAAAAGGGTCGCCCTCATTTTAACATCAATACAGTGTGTTCATTCCGGTTGAAATAAAGAAACAGTGTGTTTTAAATTCATTGTGGCACCAAATTCATGGCGGCTCGCTCAACTCCTCACTTTAAAATCTTTCTACAAACTTGTGTGTTCGAGCAGCAGCAGGCAGAGAGAGAGAGAGAGAGAGAGAGAGAGAGAGAGAGAGAGACTCCGCCTCCTCAAGCTTTCTCTAGCTTCAGATATTTACTCCTCACCCCGAAAAACAGCTCAGACAGGTTCACGTATAAAAGCAGACCGTATGTTGTACTTGGATAATTACAGTAATTAAAGCAGTTATTAACTTTAGGATATAATCATATGCATAAAAAACAACGCAGGTGTTTCTACAGGGGAATATATCAGTGTATCTTATTCTATGGGAACTTTTTTGTTGTTGCCTTGCGTAGCCTACTTCGAAATCGTGGAAATAATATTAAAATCTTTTACTTTTAAACACACTCTTAATTCTTAGTTTAATTTGTCTACTGACAAATTGTCCAAAATGTCCAACAGTAGAATCATAATTTCATATAGCATAATTACAGCTTGACTGACTAAAAACATAATAAAATAAATAAATATATATATATATATATATATATATATATAGCAACTTTACAGAAAATTAAGTTTCTACAATAGTAGCTTTATCAGTGGTGACTGTCAGTTAATGTACATATGGCAGAAATGGACGGAATAATCAATTAAAGATGTAATCAATTAAAGACGTAATCAAACAGACGATGAACACTATTAACAGCAATTATTATATGATGCAATCAAACTTATAGCAACATTGGGTAGTTCTGTATGTTGTTTCAGGGTTAGCATCATCTGAGGTCCTCTGAGGGGTTGGCATTTTAACATCAATATGTTTCACCCTTAAAAAAAATTATATCTATCTATCTATCTATATATCTATCTCTCTCTCTCTCTCTCTCTCTCTCTCTCTCTCTCTCTCTCTATATATATATATATATCTCTCTCTCTATATATATAATTTTAACATTTCCAGTCAAGCTGTAATTATGCTATATGAAATTATGATTCTACTGTTGGACATTTTGGACAATTTGTCAGTAGACAAATTAAATCAGTCATCATTATACAACTTGAAATACAATTTTAATGTAATTGTGAACATGTACGAATTCATATCTTTATAATTGATTTTCGTAGGTTTAGATTAACATGGATTGCACAAAATCTACACCCATAATGCATTTGAAAAGTAGCAAAAATAAACGATGAAGGCAAGGCTGAGTGAAAAGTTCACGTTGGTGTTTTGTTTAATGAAAGAATGATATTTTGATTAATATCGTAATATAACATTGGACCACTAGTGTGGGGTAGCATGCTCCTCATGCTTAAGTCGTGAAGGATGAAACAGTCTGGTAAATAAATGTGCGTGTGTTGTTCATCAGCAGGAACATCCTCTTAAATGACAAGAGCTTAAACCAATGAGAAACACTTGTCGCCGCCAGCGCTGTGTTTGTCATGTTTTGAGGTAAATTGTACAACCTGTAATACTAATAAACGTTAAAATACACGAATAAAATTCATTTTCTATATCCTCATTTTTAGATAAATGTATATATGTTTTAATCTAAGCGGCAGTTGTGCGTTTGAGTTGACATGCACATTTGTCCCGCCCAAGTGAGCCAACGAGCCAATAAGAAACGCCGTTAGGCTGACGTCTGCGCTGGCTAGAAGAAGTAGCCAGGAAGTTCATCATGCAGCGAATGCATCCATCTGGGCTCACGGGACACTGGTATGTCATCTGCACAATGCACTCTTTGCACCACTGATGTTCTGTTTTCAGTACAAAGCATCAGTTCTGTTGGTCTTTTTTTTCTGTTTCAGGATTGCGTTGAAGTGCTATCTCTCTCTTCCAGTGGTGGCAGGGGCATTATTAGTGGGCCTCCCTTACAGTGTCTCTCTTGTTGCCCAATGGCTCTATGGCTGGCCCAATAAACCAGGGTACCAAAAATATATAGAGGCTCTCAAACCAAGGTGACATAGCATTCACATTTTGATGTTACTCTACTTTTATTGTTGGTTTTTTAATGATACAGATGTTTCTTGCACTCCCTGCAGGCGCATATACTGCCTTACAAGAGCCGTGCTAGAGATGCTGAAGTATCTGCAGTATGGCAAACTGTACTTTCAATGGAAACTGTGGTACAGTAATGACAAAAATAACAAGCACTATGTGAAAGTTAGTTCTATTTTTATATTCCTGTTAATGTGGTTTCTTTAGCTACATGATGCTATGCAGTACAGAGATAGTTTTAAGAAACAAAGCTACTGTTATGTCTATATTTAGGACAGCAGTAATTCTTTGTATTACCAAAATGTATTGTAGTATTAAAATGAAAAAGCACTTGTCACTTTTTATTATACTACAGTATTTGATTGTGGTTCTATCCTTTCTTAGGGCATAACCTTTGGTCGGCGAGGGAACAAACTAGATTTATACTATTCACCAAACATGGGCCATTCTGATGCTGCTCCTGTACCAGTGGTTGTATTTGTGTACGGAGGTGCCTGGGGATCAGGAGACCGCTCCATTTACTGTCTGTTAGCCTTACAAATGGCAAAAGAGCTTAATGCCTCTGTAATTTGTCCAGATTATTCCATATATCCAAAGGTAAGCAACCATTATATTATACATTATGTATTCAATATTGATATTTTTTTTTAGTGTAGTGTTTGTTTTTTTCCAAACTGTTCGTTGTGTTTTCAGGGAAATGTTTTAAATATGGTTCAAGACATAACTGACAGCTTGCTGTGGGTGAGAGAAAAGGGACAAACATTCAATCTTGATCAAGTAAGTTTCCAGTCCTCCATGAACTTAAAACTGTAAGGTGTTAATATTGCATTACAAATGCCACAGTTTGACTTTACTAAATGTACTTTTGCTAATGGTACATGTTTAATTTAATATTTAGCACTTTCATATTTCAAAGTGCTTGTGCTATGCGCTACCATTCAAATGTTTGGGGTCAGTAAGATTTTTTTTGAAAAAAAAAAAAAAAAA